GTAAAAGGTGAGTTGATTTGAAAACGGTCTAATCAGTAGTTTGTATCTTTGCAAGTTAGTGGTGGCTGGCTACCACCTCCTAAAGTACTGGTTTTCAAAATGCATGTTGTAACATATTGGCAGGTCATAAAATCAATTTATGGGGTTGAGATAGGTAAGAAGGAAGGAAATAAAACAAAGAAAACCTTAGAATTTTAATTTTAGTGTGGGGTGTATGGGTGTGTGTGTACACTGGATCACACTGTAAGATGTATTTCTTACTGTAAGTACCATCAAAATAATTGGAAAACAAGGGCCCTAAAGGTCACCGTACTCTATGCTGTGGACCAGGATACAATTTAGGGCCTGACCAGAGGTGAGATGAAGACAAATGAATGGTGAATGTGTCTGTTAAGAAAGGGCTGATCGGGAAAGAACTACACTGTCCCGAGTCTGTGATTAAATTTGCAAGGCAAGAGAGAGCACTATGGTTGAAGAATTCACACAAATTGCACCATCTTAAGGTGAGGAAATGAACTTTTTTCCTCCTGCTTTCTTTTTTTTTTTTTTTTGGCCTTGGGGCTGGAATAGTGCCCCTGGACGGTGTTCAGAGCACCCCCACCCCCAATCACAGAACAGTCGCTGAGTCTTGGTATAAAATCCACCAACATCTGGACAAGGATGACTTGAGGCTTTAATCAGCAAAGCATCCTAAAATGCTGTTTCTTTTCTCCCTTACAGGGAAAGGATTAAAAACCCAAATACTTATCTATCTTCTGAGATTAGCCAGTTATTAGTGTCATATAAATTTAGCTGGAGAGGAAGTTAGAAATGTCCTTGGCACGTGGAACCAAAAAATAAATCCTGGTTAAAGGAACTCGAAATTGAATCTAACTCAATATCCTCATTTATTTTGCAGATGAGGAGGCTGAACTAAAGGCTTATACTATCCCCATCATTATAAAAATGTTATATTTATCCATGATTCCAGTGTTTATTGTCAGCGGACTGCATATGGATAACTAGAATAATGCAACTGTACACTATCCATTCCCCTACTCTAGGGCATACGCCTGGTTGGCAGGGACCATACCATACATCTTTGTACTCTCATTAGTGCCTACTGTGCTTTGGGAAATTAAATAAGATAATACCTGCAATACACTTAGATTGCTTCATACACTCTAAGAGCTAAGTGAATGCCTTCATATATGCTTTTGTTGCTTTGATTATAATAAGAGCATTATTATTACAGGATGTTTATGCAGGGGAAATTCTTAATACCTGTTGATTTTCTTTGCATTATTTGCCAAAATGAAATCATATTTTATGCACTTAAAATCCACTTATATTTGAAGAGACTTTAGAAAAATAGAGCTCTTATCTGCTTGAGGCACTTTAAATAGTAAAGATGAAAGAATTCCAATTAGTTAAAAGTTACCCAGAAAATGTCTTAAGTATATGAAAAGTAAATAGTCCTAGGATTTGTGATTCATAAAGATAATATCTCTAATGAAAATACAGAATCTTGCATACTCTGAAGGTCATCTTTCTTTACGTAAGAACCAGACTTAAGAGCTGCATGACCACTGGTGTTTAGAACCCATACCCATGGCCACGGACTGTGAATTCTAAAATCAAAATGTGACTTCCTTTAGGAGATGTTCCACAGAGAAAGAATATCACAACATTCAAAGAAATGAATCACAGTCTATTTTTTCTGAGGATCCAACAATGTTATCAAAGATTTTTTTTTTCTCAAATCTTATAAGCTCTCCAGCACCTTTCCCCCCTGCTACTTTTGTATTATACAATTAGAGTATAATTATGTGCTCTTTCACACTGGAAAGAGTATTCTTTTATTAATGACTCTGAAAAGTTTATTATTTATCTTTGAAAATGAGTTTGAAAGCAAAGGGCTCTCATGACTTTTCCTTTCTTTCTTTTTAACTTTGGAGTTCTTTAAAAGTAATACAATAGATGGTTACAGAGGTCATAGGCAGTCATAAGTTTCCACCTTTAAGGTAAGAAATAGGGTTCAGGAAACAAAGGTTGCATCCTCCTCTTCCTCCAGATTAAGTGTTTGGGGTACTGAAGAACATGATTGCAAAATACTGATGTTCCAACAAAGGTTGTCTATTCTTTGCCTTTTCTCCCTTGTTGGGACAAATAGAAAATGGATCAGAATAATAAGCTTCCTGAATCTGGTACAAAGAGAGAAGGGGGGTATAATTCACATTTATAGTAGGAAGTACAATGTAAATTCCAAATTAGTTTTAAATGCGGAATTCACCCAGCCCATAATCTGTAGCCAATTCTGGAAAGTACCACCACATCTCAGCTGAGGCTAAGCAAGTCTCATCGCTGTTTTTGGCTGACTGCTTTTTTTCTAACATTCGGCTTACCAGAGCACTCCAGATTGAATATGGGCAATTAAAAGGAAGGGTGTACATTATTGCAAATTTTAATAATTTCTCGAGCCATTTTGCTTGCAGTCATAATCCCACAAGACCAACATACCTTGCATAAGAAACTCAGATGACTTTTGGCTGCAAGCAGCTCTTCAGTTACTTTGTAACCTATTCATGCTTAACTTCTGGACTTTCCCCATTTGTGGCTGGAACCTGCCAAATAGGACTGCAGTGGCTGCTTGGCTTCCCACAGCCATGGCTAACTTATTTAAGCCTGGCAAATGAATAATAATGCCAATGAATCAAATAACGATCAGAATTCTTCTCGATTCCACTGCTGCTATTTATGTATGGCAGGAGCTACCTCTGTCCAACACTTCCATGGTGTACAAAGTAATACTGGGCCAGAACTATTTCAAAAATTTGTATCTCCTATACTTTTTGTACTATTTCAGTGGAGATAGCAGAACAGTAATAACCTGATGACCTCGGAAGCTTTGTTTTTTGAGGCCTCAGGGAAAAGTAGCCAAATTGTTTTGCAAACCAAAAAAAAACACTCAAAATTGCACATAATTTTGCCTAGCCATTTGGAATACCATGATGTCCCTTGAGTTGGAAATGTCTACACAGCTTCCTACTCACCAGCAATCTTTTTCTTGTGAAGAAAAACAAAAGATAATCATTTACTTTAATTGTATTCAAGAAACTCCATCTTTCCGGAGGATCTAGATATGGTCTTCCTCACAAGTTCTCAGCCTCTCATCCATCTTGTTTAATAAGATGAAAAGCAGTTAAATGTGAAGAATTGCGGAGACTGAATTTTAAGTTTGGACCGCTGAGAATATGGCACAGCAGGGAGGGAAGCGGCACTTCTAACACAATTTACTGTGGGAATTTAGATCACATGGTCTTGACCTTTTCAACGATCCAGAAAGTTAAAGGTAATTTTAAAGGTCTACCTAATATGAATAGAACGGTAGGAAGCTTTCCTCACTATTACTTAAGAATAAGTTAAATTATCTAGTTTAAACTACAGGTTAAGAGATTACGTTCTGAAATGAGCCTGCTCGGTTTGAACCCTGGCTTCCCTGTTCATTAGCTGTGTGACCTTGGGAAGTCACTGAAGGTTTTGAAACTTTGGTTTACTCATCTGTAAAAAGGAGATAATAATATTATCTTCCTCACTGGGCTGTTAAGAGGATTAAATGAGCTCATTCGCATGAAGTACTTTGTTCGGTTTATGGCATATGTTTTAAGTATCCAATAAATGTTAGCTTCCTCATGTCCACTGAAGTAACAAAAAACAGAGTTTAGTCGTAGAGTGCTATTTTTTTTTTTTAATTTGCTTCAGAATCTCAAATCTTCAGTGAATTTCCATGAGTGCTATTTTGGACTAAGAATTTATAGTGTTAGGGAAGGAAATATTTTCATGCTATAAAAAACCTATAAGGAAATTTCATATTGCCAGGATGTTTTTAACAAATCAATATGGTTTATATCATGTGCTAACTGAATAATACAATTATTCTAATTAACTGATCATGCACTCTGCGGGTTTGGGAAAAGTATGTCACCATTTAGCCAACAAAGAATCATGAATAATTTGACAAAATATGAAGTTATTGTTTATGCTATTAGAAACTTAGTTACTTTTGTGTATGTCTGAACAGCCAATTCACTAAACATATTATTCAACAAACTGAATTATATATCTGATAGGATTTAAAAATAATGCTTTTGAATATGTCCAGAGAGGTTTAAAAAAAAAAAACTGCTATTATTAAATAATGTGGTAAATTAATCAGTCTCTGGTTTTGTTACTTTTTATAAAATATCATATCATTATTCTGTTCTCGTCCCCAATTAACCAATTCTGATCAATAGTCTGCTTTCCCCTAAAAGCAAATAGCAAAACAAGACAGAACTTTCGTTGCTGATTCTACAGAAAATTTAAATTCTGCCAATCCAGAATATCCATGGAGCTAATTAGGAAAGCAAAGAATAAAGCTAACCATTTTTCACTTCTCTCCCATGTCCCAGAAGTCAATCAGTGCAAGCTGAAAGACGTCATTGTCTGAAGAGTATTCTTTTCATATTGACTGAGATTTAGAAACTCCTCTCGGTAACTCATTACAAAGTTAACCATTAGAAAACCATTTATTGACCCAGAAATCCGGAAGATCAAAATAATTACTTTCATAAAAATGAAAGACTCCTAGTTGCAAAATTGTATTGAGTCATATGTAAAACAAATTCTTTTTTCCCAGAATATATTCAAATTATTGTCCATTAGAAGAGTAAGGGATTGAGGTCACCTTCTCAGCATTTAACATGCATCCTTGGGGGGTTTCACATTACTGTATTTCATGAAAGAACACACAACATTAATTTATTAAATAACATGACAGTTGATGGCAATCTATAGAAGATGCTATTCTGGGCAAAAAAATGTGCTATGAAAAAATGAATTAGGAAGAAAATGGGGGGAGGATGTAGTATGGAAAACTATACTCTTCATTCTACAACCATCATTTAACGATGTTACTGCACACGTCCATGCTCTATAAATTCAGAGACATGTTTGCTTTCCCAAGCTGGCTGTCCACTTACCCTAGTTGTTTTCACTTTATTCCCAGAGGAACAGCTCCACCCTTTCCGATCCGGAAGAACTTTACATTCCTCTCCCTCAAGACATGGCTGCATATGGCACCACCATTTCTGTTCCACTATTGAAGCTACAGGAGATTAAAAAAAAAAAAAATCAATTCAGTGTTTTCTATTGGGCTAGTTAATTCTCTGCGTGCACATTTAAAGAGGAACAAAGGGCACCGATTTTTCCCACCACTAGGTAGATTGGGCTTTGAAGCATGCTTCCCTTTTTGCCCACAGGGGCTAAGTCTTTCTAGATATTCTGACTAAAAGAATTTGTATTTTCTATTTTAGTTTATTGTGGTAAGAACACCTAACATGAGTTCTACCCTATTAACAAATAGTATTGTTAATTAAATGCACATTATGGAAGGATTTTTTTTTTCATGTGAACGTACAGGCTTCATGAAAACTAATATATTGGAAAGAAACTTATGTAAACATACGCATGCACTGATTTACCTAAACATAAAAGAAAATCAACCTCTGACCAGTTTAGAGTCAATGTAATACTTCCCACAAGTAGGCTAAAATTAGGAGGATACTAGAGTTAATGTAATTTTTTTTTTTTTAACTGTGGGCAGTAACCATCATCAAGGAATGAGCCATGCTAACAGGAATATTTAAATTATTATTTATGGTAACAGTAATTAAATAGATCCATACAAAGATGTATGTCCTATTGCAATTAGGTGAACCCTCCAATAAAGAAATTAATATTTTGATGGATCTCCATAAATATCAACATTTCATGTGAATTCAAGGTACAATTACAAATTCGCTCATTTGTATGGTGCTTATTTTTTCATTCTTAAGAACCATCCATGGGTTTAGGTCACCATACTGTTTAATCCTCTATTTTCATCTCTCCTTTCCCAATTAATTTACACACACATGCCCTCCACAGGTAAATCGGTATTTCATGGTATCAAAGTAAGAAATACATGGACTTGTTGGAACCTCACTAGAATGCCTTTTGTTACAAAACTGCATAAGGTCTTAGACCTTCTTCAGGAGGATTTTAGATTTCAGAATGCCCCCCCTAAATAAATAATCTCATCAACCACATGATTTATGGAATGGTCCCTCAGGACTGACCACAGTCAACAGCATTATAGTGGAGTTCCAGTTCTAACCAGTCCCCAGCTACATGACCACCATGAGCAATGGAAGAAGTCGCACCATCCACACAAGATGGAGCAGCTCGCGTGGTGCCTGCCACCTGCCCAGGGAAGCAGGAGCACTTGACTGTCTGTGATCGCTCTTCTATCTTGTTCTTATTACAGCATCTGTGGAGTGCCACCACCTCGCAAGTGCCCGTTTTAACATGGTGAGCTGCACAAACAAAAGAGATAAGACAACATTGAGAAAGTTTTGGCTTCTCCCCCCCTTTTTAATTAGAAGTACATTAAATATAGCTCTATAAGGGATCCACCATGCATGAAACTAGAAATACAACGATGCTGACTCCATATGCAGATTTGATTTCTTTTCTAAATGTGCAAGGGCCATTTCTGTCAGTAAATGCTTGGTGAAGCAGGAACAATTAGTGACCAGATTAGAAAGAGCTGTTCGAACAGTCTGAAATATAGAGACAATATGTGGCGCCATCAAAAACATACTTATTTGCATATGACTTTTTTGTCCAACATGTTAATCAAAGAAAGGCTAACCCCTTGACAAGGCGCCCTGCAATGGGGCTAAGAGCAGACCTCTTCTCAGAGTGGGGGAGGGCTAAGCTTACATTGTTCTTCTAGGGTTGAGTGCAAAGGTCAGACAGGGGACCTCTTTTCAGAAAGCAAGGCGGTAAAGGGTGGAACCCATCTCCTCAGTATTCCTCTGCCCAGTTTCCCTGGGAATGAACTAATTGGGAATTCTTGAAATTGCTGCCATTTTCCTGAAAGTCCCAGCCAGTTTCAGTCCTGAAAATGTTTTCTTCCCATATTGCCTTGAGGGAACAACTGCCACCAATAGCCAACAACTGTAGCCAGAATGTGGATAGATTTATATCTGGCCTGGGAGCCCCAGCCAATAAGCTGTGGGGCTCCCCCCACCCAGCCCACTAACCTGGCAGAACGGCTTCTGAATGCTTTGGGTGCTTGAGACTTGTGGACCTCACTTATCACATTATGATAGGGTTCTAGTTTGCCTTTTTTTTTTTTTTGGCACCATTTCATCTTCAGAGTATTAACCCTACTTTGAAACAATAAAGCAGAAGTTTCATTTGCTAAAAATAAAAAGTTTAAAAACAAACATTAGTTGAAACACTATGCTTTCAGAAATTTAAAAAATGTGATATAAAAACCAGATCTGAAATTGTTTAACGTTATAAACATATCAAGGCCCATTTTGTAAATGAGATCAGTACATCATGTATTTATATTAATCTTTCCCTTGGGGATGAGTATCACTGTGCAGAACTCAGGTTAGACAGCTTGCTTAGATTTTTCTTGTAAGAGAAAACAAATCACACATTGTCCATCCCTCCATGCGAGACCAAGAAACTTGGGTGTGACATATGGCTTTGACATGTGATCCTCAAAAGAACTTTCAAGAAACAGAAACCATTTCCATTGCCACAAAGATTTTCCTGCCACGGTAGATACAAATGGGGATTTCTCTATGTTTGACTCAAACATAAGGCTATCTCTGTGGAAAGTTTAAAAACTTGAGAGCCAGACTTCTTCTTGTGCTCTAGAAAATATTTTCTTAGCTAAGGATGATTCAGTTTGGTTTAATTTATTGAATGCTTTGCATTATATCATACAAGTCAATATGCTCACTTTTTGTACTGCACTGCACTTAATCACATTTTGATTGAGTCAATACCACACCTCAGGTATGGTTCTGAGTATTGGGGATATAACGATGAAAAGGAGGGACATAGAGTCTGCCCTCAGCTCATATTCCTGTGTAGAAAACAAATTATAAATACCTGTTAATGATTAAGACAATACTAGATTTTTAAGCTCCTTGAAGGAACTGCAGTAGAGTAAGGGGAGAGTAATCAAACAGGGTGGGGAAGTGTATTTTTGTGAGTGTCAGAGAGGACCCCTGTGAGATAATCAGAATGATGACCTGAGTGCTGAAAGGGAAGCATCTGTTATGAGGATCCAAGAAAGGAAGAGCATTCCAAAGAGAAGGAGCAGCAAATGGTGGGGAGCTAAAATGGAAAAATGGGTGATGTGTTGCCAGGACAGCAACATGACTAGTGTGGCGATAGTGCGGTTGAACAATTGAGAGGTCTAGCGAACTGTGTCCGAAATGTGGGGAGATGGAGTAGGGGCTGATATGCTGAATAAAGGGACTGGATTTTACTCATGTCACAAGGGAAACAGTCTGGGTGGATCTGGTATCATCTCATTAAATGCTTTAGAAGTTTGCTCATACCGCTCTTTAAAGAATGGATTGAAGAAGCAAGAGTGGGATGAGGGAGACCGGTTATGAAGAGGTTGCAAGAGCCTAGAGGATAAGGGATGGGACTTAGTCTATACTAACAGCAGCAGAGTTGGGGAGAAGTAGCAGATTAGGAATATTCCCCTGTAGAGCTGGTTTGACTCGCTATTGGATTGAACATGAATTCAGAGAGAAGGAGGAATTAGGATTACTCTTCAGCTTGTCCTGAGTAATTAGAAGTGGGTGGTTCTGCAAACTGGTGTTTGCCAGAGGGGAGGTGGATGGGAGTTGGATAAAATAGATGGAGAGCACATTAATCATGATGAGCACTGATCAACATGTAGAATTGTTGAATCATTATATTGTACACCTGAAACTAATATAGCACTGTATGTTAATCATACATGAACTGTGTGTGTGTGTGTGTGTGTGTGTGTGTGTGTGTGTGTGTGTGTGTGTGTG